ATTGGGAGTATGTTTGCTGAACTTTGTATCTGAGGGTCAAACGTTCACGTCTCTGTTGCCGCAAAATAAAATAAATAGAACTCTGAGGCCGTGGATGCGTTATGAGGGTGGCAGTCAAATCCCACTGTTCGATTAGAGTGACCCAAGAATTGGCGATAACCGCTGTTTACTATCTGCCTTTTTTCTAGTCTATCTCTTCAACATTAGGGTCGGTTGGCCATCGTGTAGCTGTGAGGGAAAATTCTAAAACAAACACAAAGAAACTTGTATTGGCTATTCACAGGGGGTAACAACAATTAAAACACTTTCAATGTTCGGCTGATTTAAAACATCTTAAAGTATTCACATTTCTGTCATTTTTGGTGAGATTTTCTGCCATCGATATGGCTTGCCTACTGGCATGTAGCTTGTTGAAATATCACTTACATTTATTTGGAAGAATTTTTATTGCCCGTGTTATGATAGTCATCATTTTCGATCTCATGAGCAACACTATACATTTTTTGAGAAAAAAGAAAAAGGAATTGAAATTTAAATCTATTGCTAACACTCGCGTGTGGATTGGTTTTATTAGTAGGGTGTAATGTTTCATTTATACTTTAGCCTTTCTAGGTTAACCTGTCCGACTGTATTTGTCCTCCATAAGTAACAAATCATTAAATCAATAACCCGAGCGCTTTCGAAAGGTGGACCTTTCTTCTTCAGGGGCAAACTGGTAAATCAGTTTCCAGATGCACACTTTATACGCATGGCTAAGATGATTTACAGCGTCACATGACACTTGACGTCCAATATGGCGGATTAAACTACACCACGTGATTTTTGACGTCACTGCAAACCTCTGTAAAAGAAATATAAAATCGTAATCCTCAAGGTATATCATTCACACAAATAAGGATGGTGGGCATTGGTTACCGCAAAAATCAATCAAATCAATGCTAATTGGATAAAACTGTCAATCCATAATTTGTTAAAGTATTGAAAAACTGGAATTTTACTCGGAACCCACGTTCCCGACTTCTTCACAACATAGTTTATTTTGGTACTATTTAGTTTTGGGTTTAAATAATTTTTAACGTCTGTGTAACATGTACCCTATAAACTGAGTTACTTTAATTTATATTCTTATTGTTAATCTCACTGAATTGCACTTTCCAAAAGCAGGCTGCTTAATGTTAAACAAGGGACAGTTTCAGCTGAAACAAGCACTTGTGTATCAAAGCGCGAGATTCCGCATAACATTAGAATGTTTCAAACTTTGTTCATCGATAAAAAATGATCAGACGTGAAAAGATTTTGCAGGTGTATCAGTGGTGTAGTCACGGGTGGGCCTGCATTCAGCACATAGACTCACCCAATCACCTGGTGGTTAAAGCGCTCGACTCGCGATGTGCTCGCCCTTTCAGTCATGGGGACATTATAACGTGACGATCAATCCCACTATTCGTTGGTAAAAAGAGCAGCCCATATAGTTGGCGGTGGGTGGTGTTGACTAGTGGTCCAAATATTGGTTGACGAGTTTAAGTTGTTTCCGTTTTGACGCTAGACTAAGGGCATGGTTGAGTATTTAGTGTTCGCTATTTTTAAGAAGTGGAACGAGAGTGGCCTAGTGTTTAGCGTATTAGGCTATGGTATGGGCCTGGAGCTCGAACCACGATGCCGTTCAGTACGCTCCACGCTTTCACTGTGGGTGGGTGTTATAAAAGTGACAGTTGATCCTGTCATTCGGTTAAAAAAACTGGATAAAGCTCTTGTAGCAGTGGATGCCGTTGGTTTCTGCTCAATAGTCCAAAATTAGAGACGACAACACCTGAAACCTAAAGTTTTCTAGCATTGCTGTTAACTTAGGCCTCGTGTGAATAAGATGTCGTTCAGGTTGAACTATTCCAATTCTATTTTGACGTCTCCTGTTCGTTTGGCTCTGAGAAATATCCAGTATTAAGTCGAAAACGTGGTCATAAAAACGAAGAATGAACAGAAGATTAGTTTATTTGTTTTCGCGCAAAGCTACAAAAGGACTATTTGCGTTCGTCGTCCCTAATTTTGACACGATAGACCATACTCTATCAGATTAGTGGAATTTAATCGTCACTTCTATAAACGTACCTACTGTCCCAAAGTGCAGAGCACGATTTTGCACCAACAGAATGCAACAGAATTCATAGCCCTGCACACTTAATCACTAGGCCCACGTCGCTAGTTGGTTATAAAAATAAGTGATTCAGTATTATTTCTTAGCACACCGCTTATTCTTTGTTGACTCATCAAGGTAATGGCTACGAAGATGGAGGGATCCTGGATTTCTCAAAAGCGCTTCAATGTTTATTAAGAGTAAGAATTTCCCATTTTTCAATAGAAAATTTTCCATTTTTCCTTGTCTTAAATACATAGAATATTAAGGCTTACTACTTAAAAAACAAAATAACAATAACAACTACCTCGGTAGTTAGTTAAATAAAAATATCATAGTTTTTAGAATTGAGTCAAAGTATTGAGTGAAAACAACGAAATCACTCAACAATGACTACAATACAGCTAAGAAAACACAGTTTTCCAATAAACAAAATTCCAAAAGATCGTGTACTGTAAAGCACTAAAAAACGATTTTGTTTTTGTCTGCGTGTTTTACTGTTATGGCTCGGCATGGCCACGTGGTTAGGGTGCTCGACTCGCATTCTGAGGGTCGCGGGTTCGAATCCTCGTC